TCGCCATGTGGTCTCCTCCGGGGCAGGCGGGATTTGAACTCATGCGGAAGTGGCTTTAGCTTCTCAGTGCAGTGCTTTAACCCGCTGCGCCACCAGGGAGGGCCAATATTTTATGTAGTATATCAGAAAAGTATTAGAAAATTTCAGACTTTTTTCATGGGATGAGTTTGAACGTAGAGAAGCAGATGAAGTCACTAATCGTCTCTTATGTCCTATATTTTAAACTGCCTAGTCAGTATCATGTTTAGATTTGCAACACAGCTTTAGAACAGAAGTTTTCCCGTATTGATTTTGGTTAACTTAAAAGGATAAAACAAGATGTGGAAGAAAGAAAGGCCACTTTAAACATGTAAATAAAATAGATAAAGATTTCTCTATACTGAAATTATCTTAATCCCAATGAACAATGTTTTTCTAAATGCTATCTTTAAAAACTTACTCATCCCTCCAAAATAAACTTATAAATAAATAACCTTCTCTTACCTGTCGCAGAGTACGTGCCACTATACTTTCTAATACTGGCCCTCTATCTTCATGCAGCAAATGAACTTCATCAAGAATAAGGAGCTTGACTATTTGAGAAAGAGCTACATCCCCAACGCTCTTTCTTGTCACCACATCCCATTTTTCTGGTGTAGTCACAAGCATCTACAAGACATAAAGGGACATATAAAGTCATGTACAGAATTTATATTTCAACCATATCATTCAAAAAGAAATACAATTGAACACTTCAATATAGACCAAATAAATAATAATAAAAACTTCTCAGAATAGGACCCTTCCTAGTGGCTCAATGGATTAGGACGAAGCACTGCAAGCTAGCCACAGCTGCTTCAATGCGAGTTCGATCTCTGGCCCTGGAGGTGATCCACATGGTATGGCAGATCTCTACCTGCCCGCTGCTCCCCTCAACAGTGTAACTGGTCGATCTGCCTGTTCTGTCTCTCCACTCTGTCTCTGATGAATCCTCTCACTACCTCTGTACCTCTGGCTTGTGCCCCAGTTCTGTATGCATAAATAATCTTTAAAAAAGTAATTTCAGTAAATCACCTGTGTTTTTCCTTTAAAATATACAATTTTTAATAAAAATCATGAAAAAAAGATATTATCCTATACACTACATACACCGACAATAGCCTTTTTTTGATGAGGGACAAAGAAGTGAAATAAGTGTTGAAAAGATATGAGAAGTAAAGCGAGAATCCATTCTAGAAATGGCCACTTGTTTTATGTCTATCTACATTTGGAGGAGATGTTACAATTGGTACATATTTTTTAAAACTTCCCTTTAATTTAATTTTAATTTTAGTATATGTAGCACTCTGTACTCAAAACTAACACATACAATAAAGCATAGCTGGTACATTTGTTGCAAGCCAAACTGAGGTAGCAGGTAGGCTTACAAAATTTAGTAAACTTCATAGAAGTTGACTATTTGACATAATTTGGGATTATTAATCAAGTATTTGCTTTTTACACAGTGGTTGTATTCTCTTAGAGCATACTGTGGTAGAGAAAAAGAATATAGCAATATTACATTATGGAATAAGGTTGTATATGGAGATAATTCAACTGACATATCAGGTAATAAATCAAAACCAAAGCTTCTAAAAGTCAGTATGTCAGATTCTACAAACTAATGGTAATGACAATGAACTGTGCTTTGAAAGGGTAAGTGAAATGGGGTCAAATCATTCTTTAAGCATTTTCATGTTGCTTTTAAAGTCAACTATGTGTGTGTGTGTGTGTGTGTGTGTGTGTGTGTGTGTGTGTGAGAGAGAGAGAGAGAGAGAGAGAGAGAGAGAGAGATAA